GCTCCTGGCTCCTCTGCTGTGGTCTCTCTCCGTAGTGTTTTGTCTCTTTTCTGAAGCCACCCTCCATCTGCAGCTTTTTCCACGAGCTCTGATGGTGGGGCTGGGGGTGAGAGCTGGGATTGCTGCCTCCAGCCATGAGAGCTGCCGGCAGAGTCATTGCTCAGAGCAAAAGGATGAACCTGTGGAACTGTCACAGCCTTGGGGGTCACCTCTTCCCGCCGAGTCCTGTGGTCAGGCCACAGGTTTGGAATCAGAGCCTCTTCCTGGTCTGATCTCCCCAACCAAGGGGCCCAGCCCAGCCCCAAAACTCTTCCTTCTGAATTCAACTGTCCTGGAAACTCCCTCTGCTTGGAATTGCCTGGAGTGAAGCGCAGTTGCTTCCTCCACGGGCAAGGCTACGCTGTAGTCGCAGCTTTTCCTGGTCAGTTTGCTCCTCTCCCCCAGGGCAGCTCCTCTCTCCTGCTGTGAAGGGCTCAGCTGCTCTGGATCCCGAGGACATGGTCCATTGAGTGGAGGCTCCGAAGCGGCTCGCTCGGTGCTACACACCTGTGAGCTGCATGAAGCACTGAATGTCAGCCCTAAATCCCTGCACCTCTTTGTTCCTGCACCTCACCCTTCCCTGGGGATGCGGGAGGTGGAAGGACGCGACCTGTGAGGGGAAGGAGTGTCCTCAAGGTCCCGTGTGATGTTCTCCATGAAGCCCTGCTGCCCGCTCCTTGAGCGCGGGTACAAAAAGCCCTGCTTTTGCTGCCTTTCTGAGCCTTTCTTTGCTCTCCCAGCATGGCTCCCGTCAGTGGATGTAATTGCTTGTCAGCTTTCTGGGGTCTGTAGGAAGGGCTGGCGCAGTGCTCGGTTCCCTGAGTGTTGTAATGAAGGGGGCCTGCAGGGGAGTGGGAGGGAGCAGGGCCCCCCGCCGCCCCCCGCCCGCCCGGGATTCGGGGGCTGTTTGCTAAGCCCTGAGAAATTTTCAAAGAGCAGAAAGACCAACCAGTGGTTCTTCGCTCTGGGAAAGTGGCAATTATTTCCTGCTGACCGCCCACTCCCCTGTACAAATGAGATATTAACAGGCCAGCCCCCTCTTGCCCCCGCCCCCCCCAGTCCCAGCCCTATCACCGGTTCCTCAGTCAATGGGGACCCCAGTGCGCGGGTGGAAATGCTGTCAGGGAGGATGGAGCCCTTTCAGGGAGCACGGGGATGCTGGCTGTGCTCAGCCTGGCTATCAGGAATTCCTCGGGGCAGGAGGAAGGGGGATTTCTACTTGGGAGACCAAACATCCGACTCTCCGAGTCCTGACACCAGGCAGGTTTCACTCGGGTCTCACCAACACCGTGACTTGGGTTTTAACGCTCCCAACCCAGAGCAAAGTCATGACATGATTTATCTGGCACCCCTATGTCCCGGGAGGACCAGGTATCATGGTCTTTTCTAGCCCTTCTCATCCCACTCCTATGTCCCATCAGAGAAATAAGGGGGGAACCCATCAGGGGCAGAGGGTGAGCCAGACCCGGAGTTCCCCGCAGGGTGCTGGTACCCAGAGCTCTCCTGGGAGTTTGCTGCCTGGTCCCGACCCAGCTCTGCACTCACAGAGATCTGCATGTTCTGCTGCTCAGTACATTCCTGCTTTTAACTGAATTATTCTGGAGTCAGGCTGTAATTTGGCCTCTGGGTAATGATATAGACCAGGAGGGGTTTATTTAACAATAAAGGCCAAAAGGCTGAGGCCACATTCAGTACCAGTGAAGAGATTCCACTCCACGAAGGCTGATTTGGGTCCTGCCATGGTGTATGTGGTGAATACTGTGAGCGTGTCCCTCTCTGGGAGGGATCTCTGTTTCCCACATGGGTATTCCCAGCAGGAGACGGCGTGTGGAAGAGGATGGCACAACCTTGGCTGCTTTGCACGGCAGCATCCCCGCCGAGAGGCTGACACTGAGGTTAGAAACCTCCATATTTCAATTAAATCTCTCCTACGCTGAACGCAGAAATCAATAAAGTGCTTACGCCATCCCTCCGCTGGCCAGGAATCTCCCTGGCCTCCCTGAGGCAGGAAGGGGCTGGAGGGGGTCAGGTTGTCATCTCCAAAGAGCTGCCAGCCCTGTCACTGCTTTTTCACGCTTCTGGGTTTGCTCCCACCAGCCCGTGGGTGAGCTCAGCCCCCCCGGCTCGGAGCAGAAGGTGAACATGCCCTGGTGAGATGCAGGATGGGGAACAGCGTCCACAGTCCAGTTGTCTCCTTCGCTTTGCTCTCCTTCCCCCTGCAGCTGGTGGGGCTGCCCAGGGAGGAGGTGAGGATGGAGACCCACCTCAGCCGTGGGAGAGGAGCCCAGTTTGTGGAGTGGTTCAGGGGGGTGAGAATGTGCTTTAAAGCTGAGCAGCGACCAGAATCCAGCCCCTTTTGGGGCAGGGGAGGTGGAGGAGCTGTTTAGGGGGCTCCTTAGAGGCCGGTGAAGGCTGGACGAGGCCCAGGGCTGTGCTGGAGGGTGAAGTTTTACCTCCACCAGGGCAGTGTGTTGCCTTTCCCCTCCATCTCCCAGAAGTAATCCTGACTCGAGCTGCTCTACGGGCAGACCCCTTGCAGGGACACTGTTTGCCCCAGCAAGTTGCAGGGGCCGTGGCCTATTTTGGGGTCTTTCATCATCATTTCGCAGCATCTCTCTGATGCTCCTACAGCCCTTAACAGCAGCCCTGCGCCACCGAGCCCTGCCCGGCTCACTTCCCTCTTCGTTACCTCTGCCTAACGAGGAGGGGGCTGCTGGCTGGGCAGGATGGGCCAGCTGCTTCCAGAGCAAGCTCTGCTGCAAATTCAAATTGTGTTTCTGACTTGCCAACCATCCCGAATGTTTCCACAGGCACCCCCTCGGGCAGGCAGCAGCAGGAATAAGCTGGAGGGTTCACCCACCCGGTGCTGGTGGGCTGCCGATGGCTGGCAGAGGGTTAGTGTGGAGGTTATTTCTCAGCTACCTTCTCCTCCCTGTCCTGCTTCCCTTTCTTGCTCCCCTTGGCATCACCGTGCCCCAAAAATGGTCCTGACTGGCCAAACAACCCCTTTCAGATCGGGGTCTGTGCTTGGTGCCACTCACTCTCCAGCCCTCACTGCTGCATCTGCAGGGGGACTTGCCACCAGTCCCAGCTTGAACTTTTCACAACAGGCTGTTCTGAACCCACATGCATGAGCTCTGGGTCCAAAGGGCAGGGACCACCTGGCCTCCATCCCTGCCTGACCCTGCTGGGGACGGTGTCCTCTCCACGGGCTTCTCCAGTGACTCTTGGCTTGCACGCCCTGGTGGCCTCATCCTCAGGTAGAGCTGGGGACACAGGGCTGGTGGTGATGCTGCCACTGCCCTCCGTGTGACCTTGGGAAAATCACTCCGTCCCCTCATCCCTCTCTTCCCTCTCTGGAAAAAAACAGGGATGGCACAAGTTCTCTGCCTCGCCGGGGTGCGGTGGGAGCCCACCACAGCCCTGGGCGAAGGAGGACACGGGGAGAGGAGGCAGCGGGGGGCGCGTGGCACCAGCACCAAGGTCACGCAGCGTCGTCGGAGCCCGGGGCCGAGCCTCCTGCCTCCCACCACACACCGGGGCCGGGAGACGGGGCGGCCATCCCCGGTGACCATCCCCGGTGACGGAGCTGCCCGGCTCCTGCCGCGGCACGGACACCTCCGGGCAGAGAAACGCCGCCGGTAAGACAGGAGTGGTTTTGGGCAGGGACACAACTCCCATGTTTACTCTCAGGAGCTGACTGAGGTGATTCAAGGATAAGGAAGAGCCGGGGAAGTGGCCTAGTTTACGGAAAATCGGGAGGGCTGTTACAATCGCAGACGCCTCCGTCGTGCTGCCGTGTTTTCCCCCATCGCTCCCTCCTTTTGGGAATGCTTCATTAATCTCCCCCCGGGTCTGTCAGTTGTGAAATGGCAACTTCAGAGGGCCAGAGTCTGGCCAAGGACGCGTGTGTCGGAGCCGAAGGCATTTGGGGGCTGCTGCAGCCCCGGCGCAGACAGGACGGGGCGAATGTAACTCCAGCAACTCCCGGGGCTGGCTCGGGAGCAGGAATTTCCACTCCCTGGAGCTCTGCATCCCTAATAGTCACCCCCAGCCTCCTGGAATGCAAGATATTCTGGCAATCAGCGTTTTGCAAATCAAAGCAGCTGTTCCACCAACATCTTGCAGCCAGCGAGGGGAGGGAGAGCCCACAGAGCCGGGAGGGCGTCTGGCTCCGGCCGGGAAGCACCCACCAGCACCCACCCAGCCGTGGGGCGTTGGGTGAAGCTCAGCTCCACCGATGCTGGATCTGAGCACGTCCTGGTCGCTCTGAAATTAGAGCTAGCTCCTGGGGACCTCTGCCTTCCCGAAAGATTCCCCACTTCAGAGGAGCTTCTCAGGTCGGAGGGGCCTGGTTTACGTGGCCGGGACACGCTGTGCCCCAGGAGAGGTGGTTCCTCTGGGGCAGGAGGAACTCACGGGGCTCTCGGAGGTGCCGGGCTGGGCCCTGGGGGGAGCAGGAGTCGGGGAGGGGGATTGTGAAGCCAAATGTGCCATCGTGTTGGGAGAACGGATCCGATTTTGCCCCCTCTGCTCTAGATCAGCCCCGTGACATGAGGAGGAGGCTCGGGGGCAGGAGAGCCTCTGCCCCCCCCGTGCCCGGCGCCGGGCGAGGGTCTGTTTGCTGTCCCCGAGCCCCTGTTTTCACACCACATTTCTACCGGCCGCCTTCCCCGGGGATCGGCCGTGAGCACCCACGCCGGGACACCCGTGGGGGGCGAGAGCCCGTCGCTTCCCGACACCGGTGCCCCGGGGCTGCGTGCCCGAAGCCGCCCGTCTCTTCTAAACCCAATTCCCGGCAAAGTCCCGGCCCGCGATGCCCCCAAACTCCCTCCCTTCGGCGCAGCCCCTTCCCGGCCGCTCTCCGCGCTTCCCCCCTGCTCCCACCCCGGGGGGACCGCCCGCCCCGAACCCCCCCCACCTCCGGAGCAGCCCCGTCCCCGGGCCCCGGCGCCCCTTACCTGCCTCCACCGGGCGCAGAC